TGCAAAATTACTAAAGAATCCTCATCTACTTTCTTTTCTTCCATTCATCTTCTCTCTCCTCCTTTATCGTCTCTCTCTTCATATTGCAGATTTACTTCTTCTTCTTTTTCAATAGTTTAAATTGAAATGTTTTTCGGATAAATCTAAACTTCAAAAAATTATTAAAAAAATCTTGTGAACTTTTATATTTTCATATTTTAAGGGTTACTTTAATAATTTTTAAAAGTTAAAATTAACCGAAAAAAAATTTAATTTAAACTATTGAAAAAAAACATAAATCTACAATATGAAGAGAGAGAAGGTAAAGGAGGAGAGAGAAGATGAATGGAAGAAAAGAAAATAGATGAGGATTCTTTAGTAATTTTACAGTTTAAATTGACCACGTCACCTAACCAATGCCATATCAGCACCAAGCCATTTCTTGGTAACGGAGTAACAAGGATGTGGACGGAAAGATGACATTTGATGAGGTCATCGTCAGCAGAAGGCTGATTTGCGGGTTTTGTCAAGTGGAGGGGCTGATTTGCTCTACTTTTAGGTAGAGGGGCTGATGTGCCACAACAATGGACGTAGAGGGGCTGAATTGCACCTTTTGCCATAAGAAAGTAAAAGAAATCTCCTCATTCTCCAAGGAGCACCTTTTGGAACCTTTTTTTCACCTCTAAATTTGTCCCTTTCATACCGTGAACGGAACAAAATAGTGAGTAACGCTTTTGGTTTAAGAGAATCTAACAAACACACCTTTTAAGTCGACAATTACAGTAATCGATGGATAATTACAAACAAATATGTTTAAAAAACGAAGACCGAAGTGGGAAAAAGTCCAGAAAATAATAAAAGCAAGAGAAGAACAAAGAGAACGTAACCAAACTGCAGTGCAGGCAAAAATAAACAAAGAAAAAAATTGTCGGTATGTTCTTCATTTCAAACACACAATGCTTAAAAATTTGACAACAGGAATTGACAGTGTGACCCAACCGTGCTTACAGTTCATTTCCCACATTAAAAAAGTTAATAGTCAACACGTTTTCTTGGATTAATCAATGTTTTTTGTCTTATCCATTCAATAATTTTGCCAACAAGATTTGTTTTTGGAGTAAATATAGTTTAGGTCAAGTTTTTCTGAAGAATTAAAAGACCTGTGTATCACTGTACAGTTAAAAATAAAAGATCAATGGAATTATTTTTGTGCTTATATAATGAATTTTTTTTAGCATATTTCCTAAAAAATATAAGTTAAGAATTTAATTAATACATTTTAGTCATTAAATTATATTAAAAAGAGTTTGTCTTACCTATATTTTTTTTTTTTTGAACAGATTTTACAAGGGGTTGGGTTCGAACCCTAGTCCTAAGGGAGGGGGGAATACACCATGAGTGGCTATTGCCACTTGACCCGAAGGGCTCGGTGCTTGTCTTACCTATATTTAAGAATATAAGTTAAAAGAGTTTTAATTGCATCTTTTATACATTAATTTACATTAAAAAAATTTAAAAAAAGTCAGCATCATTTTTAACATATATGGATATTTTTTATTAAACAATTAATAAAATTAATATTAGTTTTTATTTTTATACTTGTATTAATAATAAAAAAATATAATAAATACACCCTTAACATGTGCCATAAATGTATAAAGTAGAAAAACCTTATTAAAAACAAAGAAATTAATATGAAATTTAGTACTAAAGACACGTGTATTAATTTAATTAATTAGTTGATAAAATTAAAATTAAATTTTATCTTTTCTATAAAATTTAATAGTTAAAAAGTGTAGTAGTAGCTGTTTGATATAGTAGGAATAGCAATTTGAAACAAACAATTAGTAAATTTGTTTAATTTCACAACTAATAACTATTATTAATGATAATCTATTGTTTATTTAATTAGAAGAAATCACTAACTACTAATTTCTAATCGTTATACTGAATGATTCATTAATTGCATTTTTAATATATACCCTTAAAATATATGTTTAAAAAACCCTTATATAATTAAGGCTTATTAAATTAAATAAGTTTTTTCAACTTGTGTCTTTAAATGTACTTTTTTATCATAAATATATATAAAAAAATATAA